TCTCATTTTTCCTAGGATCTGGACGTTTCCCTGGCTCTGCCCATGTCTAAATCTGGTACTGCCTGAGCAAATACTGAAGTGTAGGCAGAAGAACTGAATGCCAGATGGAGCACCGCACTACAGCACAATACAGTCTGATACCAGACAATATATACTTTGGCCTTCTAGTTCCATTCTGAGCATCCACAAGCACTGTCCCAACATTTGTGAGTGTAGTGCTCAGCCCTTCCCTAGGGGGAAAGGCAGATGCGAGCTAGGAAAATAAGGGAGGACACGGTCCCACAAGCACTCCGTCTCCTACCAGGTGCCTTTATTTCCAATTGACTTCAGTGAGAATTAAGGTTGTTCAGCTCTTTCCAGGACTGAGTTCTGCATTACTTACTGCAGTTAAGTTGTGCAGCCAGGAACAAAACCCCAGTATCTTGACTCTTCAGCCTGTGCTTTGGTGGCACATTGCACTTGTTACATGGTACATTATTTGTACCACAGCCGATCTGTTGCGCCAGAGAGAGTGTCCACCTGTATCCATAGCCACCGTGACAAGCTGTGTGCTAGCCACAACCCGAGCCTCTCCACTGCCCCGCCAGCCTTTCCAACCTGCGCCAAGGGCCCCTGTTCCAGGAACCAGAGGCCATGTCAGCCTCTATGGTCATTCTGAGACCATGGTCTTTGCACACTCCGAATATTGGTTGACCTCAGCAAGAGCATGGTGCTCATCACTATCACTGGTGTCCCAGGTTTGGTGTCCAGTATTGAAGGTGAAAGTCTGCTTGTGACATAATTGCTTTTCCAGGTGGAACAAAAATCTACTAGCTCATTCCCACAGGATGCCACCACCTGCTTCATCACAGAGCTGCACTCTTCTAGGCTGGGGCTGGACCATCAATAGAGGAAGGGAAGTCTGTGCGTTTGGTTACAAAGCCCTGGGCATCAAAGCCTCAAAGGCACTGAGGTACCTATTTTCCAGTGAAATCTATTTAAAACCTATGACTTCAAGGGGACTTAGATGTCTAGTTACCTTTCAGGATCTGGATCTAAGGCCTTGAGTTATTTAGGGCTTGATCCTGTGAAGTGCTTGGGTGGGGGGGCTTCATCCTCCACTGACAGAAGCAGGCGTTAAAAGCCCTCAGCATCTTTGTAGGATCTTTGCCTTTATTGTGGACTTATTATCTGGTGATTTTTTTAAGCAAACAAAGCTGCTGCTACAGCCCCCCTTTCCTGGGATGTTTCGGTTCAGAGCAACACAAAAGCCTGACTTTGGGCTGTTTCCGGCAGTGCCCTCATGTGTACGCCAGGCTCCCAGAGCTCACTCTAGGAGTCCTGATGCCTCTCACAACTGACAGGCATCTTCTCCTTCCACCAAATTGCACTCCTCCTCCTCTGTTACAGCCGAGTCCTCAGATGTGCAGGGCACCTGCAATGCCTGTGGATTTCAATGAGAGTTGCAAATGCTTATCAGATCTGAGTGCTTGGCTCTAACTGCCTGTCCTGTTCATCTGGTCCTGCGCTCTCCTAGGAGCCCAAGTCAGGGCTGTAGCTGTGAAATGCAAATGATCCCAGCCAGTGGGTGCAGTCTTCTGTAGGTGTTTAAGGTGCGGCGATTTCTCATCATCCTGGCTGCAGATTTTTTTTCTTTATTATTTTAAATCAGCCAATATTTCTCATGTAACTCTTGCCACAAAAAAAGTCATTACTGCCACCATGAATTATTGAGGGCCTAGCCTTAAAAAATCCCAGTGGACTCTATTACGCTAAATTCATAGCTATATGATGAAATGTAAACTCTCTGTTTACTGCAAGGGTCACACAGTCCCAGCAGACCTAGCAACAGGGCCTGGCGCACGGGTCCTGCTGCACTTAGGACATGCCAGGCACTAAATGAAGATCTTAGCAATTAGTGTGAAGGTCCGGGGAGAAGGCAGCTGTGGGATGAGGATAATGTGGGAAGGGGCAAGTAGAGCTACCACGCAGCTCTTCGCTGGCAGCAATCAAGAAGCAGGTGGTGTTTGCCAGGAAAGCAACAGCCTCAAAAATCCTCCGGTTACCAGTGGGTGTCACTGCAGGACAAGGAGCGTCCTGTACCGAAGGGCTGGGGGAAAGGGTGGGGAGGAGGTGAGCTGGTGAGGATCCGAGAAAGGAAGCAAACCTGGATCTGCCATCTTCAGAGGAGAGACATTTGCATAGTCTATTAACCAGCCCCCCCACCTCCTTTGTGTAGCACCAAGGCACCCTTTGCTATATCTTAATTAATAAATAAATCAGCTGGGCAAGCTGGCTGACATAGCACTTTCCATCTTCCTTTTAATTTTCTTTTTCTTAGTGAATTCAGTGCTGGGGAAAGGTGTTGGACCCAAAGGCAAGCAAACAGGAGTCTCCAGGACATGCCCGCCTACATCTGCTACGGCCTGCGCAGTGGTAGGACTGGTTTATCCTTCGCTTCCCAGCCCATGTGGGAATGAATGAGGAGTTTGTTCTCGATGGCTCATTCTGCTCTTGGTGCCCCTGCAGAGACTGGGTGTAAAAGGGGCTGGAGCAGGGAATTAGTTCAGGCCCAGGGGCTAGTTTCTGTGGTGGGGATTTGCGTTCAGAGGATGCTGAAATGGGATGCACTGAGCTTCTGTGAACTGCGTCCCTGCCCGGTCATCACATTTCAACTGCTTTTGGTCACCACCAGGCTGCCTTCGATTTAACCTGTCAGTCAAGAGGGGAAAGGCCCAATAGTCCATTATCTGTCCCAGGTGCCATCCAGACGCTCTGGAGAACACTTTTATTTGACTCAACCATTACTTCTCCTTGCCCTCGTCCTCTGTTTCTTGGCATCCAGCCCCGTCACTGCAACACACTCGGTGCTCCAGCTAGGGGGGACACTCAAGGCTGCTTTGGGGATAGCTGCCTACACCCCTTCCCCTTCATCATCTCTTATAGTGCAGCCTTGCAAGGTGCAGAGCATGCCTGGTTCTCATTAACTTCTCCAGGAGAGGAGAGGACTCGATATCCCCCGGGACCAGACACCTGGAGTGCAGCTCTAGCCTCCTTTTCCATGCGCTGAGGTTTAGATTTTCTACAACCTGGTGGCATTCACAGGGCATCATTAAGACCATGGAAATTTGTTTAGTTCTGTTCTAATAGATCCCTGCAGGGAGAGAGAGATTTTATTAGAACAGCTCTTTCCCCTTTCACCCAGCCCTCCAATGAGCTGTGTGCTCACCTCACATGGCCACAGAAGTCTCTTTCTGCTGCTGGATTGGAGGCTGCATGTGACCCTAACCAGGCTGTGGCATGTTGTCAGGGTTTATTAGACACACAACTGCTTGGCTGCAGTGTTAAGGTTCAGAAGCCAAGTCATTTTTAGCAAAACAAGACATTTAAGACCCAGCCTTCTTTCTCCCCAGTGTGGTGGGAAAGGTCTCTTGTTATACCCAACCTCTCTCAGCACAGCAAACCTTCCTGTTATTCTGCCAGTTAATTCAGAGCTGCTTTATTAAAGAAGCCCTAGCAGAGAGAGGGGGGAATACATAGTAGCACTCTCTCTCTCTGCTCGCAGCTGGCCCAAGTGGGCTCAGGTGTGGTCAGGGTGGCACTTTGCTCCAGACACATCCTCACATAAATGGATTAACAGCACCTGTCTTTAAGGGCAGGCTTACCCAGAAATCTCAGGGAAGTTAGACATCTCTAGCTTGTTCTAAGCTTCTGTCCTACCAAAAGGTGCATGCTTCATCTCAGGTAAGCAAAATGTCTTTATTGCCCAGTTTACTCCTGCAGCCAGGTAAAACCGTTCAGTATTAATGCAGGACTCTGTCCTCTCACATGCAGGTTTGAAAGCTCAGCGTAGAGGTGGTTGTAGGTAGGATGCCCTGTGCTAGTTCCTGAGCAGTCTGTTTGATTTCTTGGTTAGCTATAAGAGCACCCAGCTGTCACTTAGACATGTACACGGTTGCTGTGAAGCTAATACCCTGCAAGGTGCTAGGGTGATGGGGAATGTGCAAGCACGCTGTGAGGAAGAGGTTATGCAAACAAATGTTTTAAATGTCATATTGTACCATGCATGACATGTACAATGTCACACATGGTACAGTATGAGGTGTGCTAACAGCTCTGCAGAGTGGAACATGCCACAGGGATTTATGGTTTAGCTAACAGATTGTCAAATTGAAATAATCAGGACCGTTTTTGGAGGCATTTTCTTAATATAAGACACTGTTGGGAGCAGCTTTTTTAATCCTGTTGGTGCAAATGTTCTTTGGATCCATGCTTACATATGTGTCTTTACCCTATTCAGCATAATGCAGCTTCTGAGCTTGCTATTGTATATTGCTGATGGTATCGATTATAAGTTGAGTGGTGGATTTATTCATGGGCTGCACGGAAAATGCATAGGTCTGAATTGTACAACAGTTCATCAGAGCCAAATCCCTTTGGCTGGTATCAAACCAATAAACTAATTTCCACCAAGGCCCCAGTATGGCAGAGTACTTCAGCATGTACCTTGACCTCACTGAAATTAAGCTTAGTTGAGTACTTTGCTGAAGCAGGCCCTTAAGGACGATTTATCTTCCCATCCAGCGAGAGAGACATTTTCATTGGAAAACATTATATAAATGATGGAAACCATAAGGCTGTTTATCACCTCTAAGGTACAGTGAAGGGAAAATTCACTATTTTCACTGTAGTAATACCGTGGATTAGCTGCGGACAACTCTGAACACAGTAGTGGAGCAGGGTAGTTAACAATACATGTAGGTGTATGTTCCAAGTGAAGAAATCGATACAGCAAAGCAGAAACTTGTTGATTAAATTTGTTCTTTATTCAGTTCTATCAATGTTAATGGAGGCTTTTTAAACTTAAAGAAATCTTGGTATAGCACATTGTACTATATGCCTTCTTGGTATAGCACATTGTACTTGGAATAAAGACTTATGCTACATTGCTAACATGTTCTAAAAGGATTAGGATAGACCGACAGTGCATGCATTTTTTTTTTTTTTTTTTTTTTTTAGCGCATTTAGGCCTTGATATAAATACCCTGGCCAAGTGGACCGCATCTCGTAGGTTGTTCTGAATGGTAGACACTGAATGCTTTTTTATGAGCATCACGGCTTGGAAAGGTACTGAGATGTGGAGCAACCTATAATGAGAGAAGCAGATACATGCGATCAGTCACAGTGAGGAGAAAGTGAAAGGAAAGAGGCTTGGAGCATGAGCTGGGAAATGGACTGCAGCCTAGCTCATCAGCTCCTGGCCATTTCAGGATGTCATTCCACGCTGTCCAGGAAGCCAGCTACCAACGTCCAGATGAAGACTGTCTGGTTGGCTTTCATGGTGGAGGTTATCTTTTAACACCCCCGTAATGAATGAGTCCTATAATCTCGCTGCAAGCAGTCAGCCATTGGAGCGGATGTTCTCAGGTGGGGCTGTGCCTAATAACTGCAGACCAAGTGGGTCTCCTTTTCAGAGTGCACTTCTACTTCTCATTGCGGTCAGTGGGAAACACTGTTATGATGGCACCTGAGTTGGCTGGGATCAGGGCCTCATTCTGCTAGGTGCTGTATAAACATTGCTTCGGAGACTGCTCTGTTGCAAAAGACACAGACTTGGAGAATGGGGTAGAGCAGAACAGGAGGGATCAGCGTGTGGGTTATATCACATTAGTTCCTGTGACTTTTGGGGTGCATTGTGGTAGTGACGGGGTATACACACGCAGAGCAAATATAGACAGGATATCTGCACGTGTGTATTCAGATAGCCCTGTGTATATACACTATGAAATAGTCTTTGCCCTCAAGATCTTATGAGCTAAAAAGACAAGACAGGCCGAGGGCATGTTTAGATGTTCAGTACCATTACAAATAAAGAATTTATTAAATAGGAAACTTGATGCTTTACTGTTGATAGTCGGTTCTGAAAATGATGGCTACACCAATTGCTTTCACATAGCTGAAGTAAAGCAATAATTCTCTCTCTGAGTTTAAAAATAAGAGGGAGAGAACCAAGAATCTTTACAGTCATTATTTTTTCTCTTAAGACAGTGACTGAAATTTCAGAAAGGCAAGGATTTTTGTGGGTGATATCTTTTATTGCACCAATTGTATAGTTGGGAGGATCTAGATAGACAAGCTTTCAGGTATGAAATACCCTTCTTCAGGTCTCTGGGGGGGGGGGGGAAAAACCCAAGTCTTTTCTTTCTGGAGTCGGAGGTTCATCCCTAAAGTGATGTTGGCAGCAGAGTCGGGCCAAGAGTCAAAGATCAGAGGACTTGTATGATTGACTTCAATAGCAGAGCTGAGCCAATGCTGAACACTTTTGGCAACTCTACTCATACGCGAGGACAACGGTGTCACTTCAGTGAGCCTTACAGATTTCCACTGACCACACAGAAGTACATTCAATTTTCACTGGCAGCAGGACACTACTTGCAGACCCATGGCTGTAGCATGAGACAACTTGGAGGACAATGCTCTATTGGGGCATATTTGGAGCCCTAAGGGAAGACACCAGGAGCTTACTGACCAGCTCACCTGGCGACTTTGCACAGCTGGTACCCTACTATGATCCAAACATAGAAACCGTAGACAATAAGGAAACTTAGCGGTGCCTTCTCCAAAGTTGCACGCAATCCATGGCTTCTGACCTCAGTATGAATAAGTGGGAGACACCAGGTGTAAACCAGGGGGCAAATTTTGTTTTAAAAAATGAGAGGGCTTCTTATAATGAGGGACCCTTGAGAAGTATGGATGAGTCCCCAGCCAGTAATTAGTCAGGACAGGGGTGGCGGTAGGTCAGAGGTCACGATATGACAGAGGTTGGTGCAAGAAGTCAGTGCCAAGCGGTGCAATTCTAATCTGTGATTTGTGTCTAATTCTTATTTTAAGTGATTAACCAAAAGGCATCTCCCTAGAGACATCTGATAATCTGCACCATTATTCCAGCAGGGTTTGAACTACCATGCCGAAGTTACACATTAGATATGCCAAGTGAAGCAAATTGGGTGATGGGGTGCTAATGTCCTTGAATCCTTTTCGGACTGCACAGGCCTGCTGGTTCCCTTGTACAGTTTTGAAGTTGGCCTTGTTTTCAGTTGCCCTAATTAAAATCAACCGTGTTTAATCCAGAAACAACACTTTCATGTCAAGTCTCATAAAAAAATCTCCATGAGATGTTCGCAGCTGGGATGCATTAACATCTGACCTTGCTTCTCACAGTTACAGGGGGGGAATTCTTACATCTGAAAAAAATGAATGTGTGTGCATATATGTGTGCATGTGTTACTTCCCCATCGATTGCCTCGTTCAACTTTTTGTTACAGAAAAGGGAAACCCACCAATCATCAGTATACCAGTGTGAAAATCCCTGTAATATAGGCAGTTCGGATGGGGGACTGATAAATGGTATGTAAGACATGACAAGACCAAAACACTCGGTGTAGAGCAGACCTTCCACACGGTATAAATGGGCAGCTGTCTACTGAACTCAGCAGAGGATCTGGGAGCTGTGAGTTAAGTGAAAAGCAAAGAGGTGTGCTAAACCTTTCTGTTTCCCAGAAATCTCAATTTATAATTCCTGTTCAGCACTTTGCATGTGCGAAGCGATGAGGAGGATCAGCTAATTTAGGCACAGGTACACTAGAGCTGCTTGGGAGAGTGACTGACTGAATATTTAACTTGCATAACTGAATGATTTCATATGGCTTGTAAACATGCTTGTGACTAAACTACAAAGGGGTGCTAGCAAAATGTCATCAGGATGTCCCTCCCACCCTCTCACCGCTGTGAAGGGTTCTGCACCTGGTTGCAAGGAAATATATACTCTTATATCTGTTCCTTTTTTTAATATATACTATCTACCTGAAACCCTACGCCCGTGGAGCAAAAGCTTCCAAGCCTTGTGTAAGTTTTCACTTGAGCAACGCCCCTGAACTCAGCCTGGTTTTCCCAGCGTGCGTGTGACTGAGTCATTTTTGCCAGTGACATAGGAAAATGGCTTGTACGCGTCTTACAAAAACGTGTTCCTCATTTACAAGATCCCAACAACCCCAGTCTTTCAAGTTGTCTCTTTCTTTCTTTCTTATCTTTCCCCCCTTAAAACAATACCCAACACCAACATCAAGCTTGTAGATTTTTAAGGCGGGTGGGGGAGGAACGGGAAATGCGGCACAACGTAGGCGCCAGGTGCACAACCACCCCACCGCGTACTGTGTAGAGCGTCCCCATGCAGACACACGCACGTGCAAGCGCGCACACACATCTAGATGCAAATGATTTCCGTGAAGCCATCACTTGTGAAGCTTGACAGAAAATAATGAGAAACACTAAATCTTTTATAAGGTCAACACTCAAGCAGCTGTCAAACAAGAAAAGAATTTAGCGAAAGAGCCGCAAAAACTTCCATCGCCTCATTAAACCCAACAGGGCCCGGGCCTGGCGTGGTGAGGAGACGCCAGGGCGCCTCCGTTTTGTGTCAGTAATTTGCGGTGGAGGAGGAGGGAAGACGAAACAGCCAGCGCCGAAGGGGCCTAGGGGGAGGCTGGGGAATCGTTAGCGCGCCAGGAGCGGCCTCGGCTCCTAATTGGAAGCATTGGGCATTATCAACGGAGGATTTGCCTCAGCTCCCTGACAGCTATCTGGGCCTGGAATGATAGCCCACTTGTCAGTGTAAAAGACCATTAAAAACAAACCATTTTGATTTAATTGGAGGCGGTGCGCTGAGGGCCCAGGTGAGGAGCCTCATCAGCCGATGCTGGCTGCTGATGCCTTTTTCCCCCTGTATTGATGGCTTTTTTTTTTTTTTTTTTTGGCTTTTTTTTCTTTCTTCCCTTCCCCTCCCTTTCAAAAACTGTCTGGGAAAGAGAAAGAGGTACTGAAAGATCCTTCACAGTCACATTGAGATCTGCTTTCAATAGGGTTGTCAACAAATGCTATGACAAGTTACAGAGCGAGGTAGGTATTTTTAAAACAGACGTTATTCTGTCCACAGCTGAGCCGAACTCGGAGGGTGTGCGTAGGATTATTAGGGTTATAAATACCGTGCCTTTCACTGCAGGAAGAGTGGTTAACATGCCTGATTTAAATTGAGGGTTGTTTCCTTTCTCCCTGCTTCCTTTTCTAATTGAGAAGGGAAATGCAGGGAGGAAAAGATGAAATAGATGTTGGGGGAAGTGATTATTTTGCTCCAAAAACACAGAATTTAAAAAAAAGTTAGGGATTTTTGCCTGCCTGGCTTTAATATACCTTAGAGCAAACTGATGCAGGGCCCTTTCTGAAAATGAGGACCTTGTAGGATGTTTCTAGATGGGCACCAAGAGTCACTGGCCATTTGCTCTTGGGTAAGAAGCCAAGAGGGTTTGGGGAAACTCATTCACCCCCTTGAACCATGATCCAGGCATATGCCTCACCCTGGCAAGTATAGGAGCAGACTGGATCTGCTAACTTCTACGCTAATACAGCATAGAAGCTGCCACGCTTGGTTGGACCAATGGTTTATGTAACCCATTAGTGGCAAATAATGGATGTGTTGGAAGAGGATAAGAAACGGGGTGTGCGCAGTGCAATCCATCCCATTACACCCCCACTTAAGTAGTCCAAGGCTTAGGGGTGGTGCTGAGCCTGCGGTTACATCCCTGACTGCTGTATTTTAACAGCCTCTGAAGCCCAGGGGATCAATGGGACTGGAAAACCGGATCCCTCGTCCAGCATGTCGGTTGGCAAGCAGCTTCAGCACTTGAAAGCTGAAGGGGTTTGTGGAAAGGGCATGTGCCATGCAGAAGGCATGGATCTGTGGTGTAAGTCGTGACAAAGCAGTGCACACACGGGAGGGAATTGCTGAAGAGCATTTTCATTCTGTTTGCAGCAGGGCATTGATGGCAAATTGGGGAGCCATTTTCTTATGGACAAGTGTCCACAGGGTGGGAATGGCATCAAAATGGGCCCTTGTTGTTGGCCCTTGTTGGTCGTCTATGTGGAGGCCAGGTTTGACTGTGTGTCCTGACCTTGCCTTCTCACCATCTTGGCTCCCCTGTACTCTGTGGAGCTTTCGAAGGCTTCCTTCTCAAGGGCTATCAGGTTGGTATCTCCTACCAGCATTGAAGTTGTATGGCATGGGTGGCTTTTTGAGGTTTTTAATAAATAAAAT